TGCAAAAGCTGCAAAAGCATGCCGGAGAGTAATGATTTATCAGAGATTAAAGTGCAAAACTAGATCTTTGTATTTTTTCTGTTTTTTTTTTAACAGGATGCTTGAAACTAGCTTTGTATGAACACACACTCCGCAATATTTAAAATCAAGAGGCACATGCAAACTTTCAAGGCTTTGAATTACAAAGTCAAATTTCTTTTAAGTCATATTTGATAGATAAAGCATTTTTATAACAACTGAAGGTAACAAAGTTACTTGGTTGTGCTATAAAATGGCATTATGTGCCTGGAAAATACATTACTGCCATTTTAAAACAAATAGTGATTCAGCTAATCACACAACAATAATCCAGTGCATTTATCCATCTGTGCTTGGTGTAAACAGCTTACTAAAGTTCAAAGCCATCATCACAATGTGGAAGAAATGGGATTTAAATGATCCTTAGCATTGTGTGGATTACAGCGCCTTGTGGATGTGAAAGGTCAGAGGAGAATAAAGAGACCAGTTTGGGAAGAAACAAAGATAATGTATGAAGAACACCATCTCTGAATGCACAGCATAGCCAGTGGAAGCATAAAATTACAGATCCACCCTGTCGCGTTTAAACGTTTCTGTCGTGTTTAAACATTTCTGGCTTCTGCTGGTGGTGGTGGTGTAACTGTGTGAATGTTTTTTCTGACACACATCAGTACCAGCTGAACACTATCTATCTGTGTTTTGTTAGCTGTCGCTGTACATGCTCTTGTGACCAGGCAGGCGTTGTGGCCCTCATGTTTCACAAAAGGTCCACAAAACTCCTACAAGTAAAGGCTGCAAGGCACAATTCATATTGTAACTTCATCTAAACATCAATTAAATAAGCATGCAGAGTTTTAATCGGCTCGTTCTGCTTTCTCAGCACATACGGCACATAATCTCAGGATTAACTCAAACCTATAAAGTCAGGATGCAGATCCATGAAAGATTATTCTTTGGAGCTATAAGCATTTATGCATATTTTTTTTTCTTTTCACACAACCAAAAAATGATGACAGGTTACTTCTCAGATTAAGTTTGTTTAAGCTCTGTTTCAGGTCAGCTCTGTGCAGCAGGAAGAGTAATTATGGAGGAATTTTACACTTTCTGAAATTTCTCCACACTGCCTTCATGTTTTTTGTTGTATATTTGTACACAGTGGATGTTTTTTTCACCAAAAGATTTGTTTTGCTAATGCATTTGTGTCATTTAAATACATTTATTTCAGTCATTTTGAGGTATGTTACTGATAAGAATGTCAAATTAGATTTTTTTCAGGGAAATTATTTAGAGCAAAACATTTGTCAGTCAATCAGAGGTTCTTAAAAAAAAACTAAATGGAAACTTAAATATTATTTTTGATTTTGTAAGAAATAAATTACAAAATAAATTGCTAAATGTGTTAAGGGTCACATGTATTTCTGGTTATGCAGCAATAAACAAACAAAAGCATAAAATATGTGGAGTTGGCAAGGTATTTCCATATTTAATCAATTTGCATTTATTTAAACATAGTTTTGACATTAAAAAAGATTGTGTTGGCACAATAGAAAACTGATATAATTCCCTGGAACTGTTGTTTCAACACATGCTCTCTAACAAGGCTAACGAGAAGCAGTGAGGGCTACTAAGCCGGCCCCCTGGGCAGAGGCTTGTTAATGTCACTGTCACATTGTCAGAGTGTGGGCCTCCAGATCAAGGGCATAAGATGGTGGGCCACATGGGGGACACGGAACGAAGGGCTGTCGGCATTCTCCAAAGCAGAACATTTGAAATTTTACACATTACCTAATAACTCAGAGAATTATTAACCTTATTAGGAAGTTAATGCCACATGGTTCTTTGATAGCCTTTTGTCAAAATCCTCTGCATAATAGGAAGATTTTAACAAGATTCTAAATGCAAAAACAGTATAAAAAATATCTACAAAAACATTTTACCAAAAATGATTGGTAAAATGATTGATTTTTTAATTAAGTGTCTTGGTATTTCAGAGTTTCTGGTGCTATGCTCTATAACAGTCCACTATGCTTAACAGGAAGGTGCTTTTCCACATTTACATCAGACCCACCTGAAGTGTTTGTTGCTGAAAAGCTGAATCTTACAGTCATCTGACAACATAATGCCAATTCAAGACCTGGAGGAGTTTGGGAAACTCCGCCTATTTCTGTTGTTGATCGTGGTACAAAAACAGCTTATTTTGTGACATTACTACTAAACATAACAATTGGCATTCTGTTAAATAATGGCTGTCATGGAAACCTGGTGATGTCATTTTTGCTGTAGCCTCATTTGGCATCACTGCTCTAAATTAAGATAACATTTCAGTCAAATTTATTTAGTTGCAACAGATTCATTTGTAATAAATAATTTTTCAATATTTTGTTTTCCAACTGAACTAGTCACATAAAATGTTTTATGATATTATGCTTCTGCGACAAAATATGAATTGAAGGTTTGTTTTTTTTATATAATTTTACCGGAGGAGCCAATAATTGCAGAGCACTGCACAAGGATATGACACTGAATAAAAGGAGCTTACACAATGACTTCGTTGTTGTTGTTTTTACACTTCCACACACACACACACACATACACAGACATAACCAGCTAAAGGAGAACACTAATATATTTAAATCATTTCGGTGTATTCCTGTTTTAGTATCTTGGTGCTCCTCCTCATTTCGTTAGTTAGATAGTATATATTTGTAACTGAGCTGTAGATCACTGCTTTTCTGAGGTGCGGTGAAATCTTATTCTCTGTGGTGAACAATTCAGTATACCTTGAATGAACAATGATCTTCAACTGTCTTTGGAAGTGACATTGAAAATGTCAAACTCCTTGTGCATCTGAATGACTTATTTTATAAGAACTTCTGGGGCCTCCTGCGCTTAGAGACATAAGGAAAAAAAGAAAATCACAAATTTCTTATTGCATAAGTGTGGGGGAACGTTGAGTTGTTATTGACTAACTTTCATAATGAACTTCTCAATTTGTTGTAAGAAACTGCATAGTTTCCTGTAACCTTTAAGCACTGATCCTGAGGACACAGAAGGATGTGTTTCACCTCCTGACACCGTGCGAGCTATTTCAGCTCGGATCCCGTTAACCACAGTTGGGTTCTTCTGCCTGGAAGCAGGCCAGTCTGGACAGTCACTTTATAAATGGGGCACCTCTGTGATAAATGTTCTCCTGTCTAAGGATCTGAACCCTCACACTGTAATGCAAGGGGAAATGAGGCCATTCCAAGATAAAACCAAAGATTAATGTACAGTAAGAGTGAATAGGCTTTCCAACCAAATTACTTTACCAGATGAAAATTCATCCTTCATGCATCTGGAAATATGTTCAGAAAAACTGCTGCTACAACTGGAAGTACAGAATTATGCAAATGTGTTCTCTGAATTGTTAAATAATTAACTATAAAATATGACAAAGCAGATTTTATATCCACTTTTAAAAAAAATGATTCACTTGTTCTACATCTATTATCAACATGTTCATCCATTTTCTTTTTTTTTTTTTTTTTCAATGAGAAGCCGGCAAGCGCTGTGGAGGTGCAGAAAATGTGTTAATTAAATCTTACAGTTTGTGCTTCACACTACAATGATATTATTTCATGTCAGTAGGACATATAAATAGAGTTATGCTAGGTTGATATCCTCATCTCAAACAGTGTATTGAAAGAAAAGACAACACCAGTGATTGTGTGACACAACAAAAAATGTCAATGTCTCAATAGTGTGTCATGTGCCTGCGAGCATCTATCACAGCTTGACAACAACGTCTCATTCTGTTCACAAGTTGACTTATTGTCTGCTGAGGCATGGTATCCTACTCTTCTTTAAGGGCAATCTTCAGGTCACCTCCTCATGGTGACACAGCTGGGATTCAGAATATTTCTCCTACACAGACCTCATTGTTTTAGGGGGTTTGGGATCTGTTCTAGATTCACGTTTAAGAGCTGCAGCCTTTTGCAGATTCAGCAACCTGGGCAATCGCCTATGTGGCCCATCCCAAGAGCCAGCTGGAGAGGAAGAGGAAAACCAAGGGAGAGAAAGTGAGTGTAATGTGTGATGACACACTATGATCCAGATACCAGCATGGAGTTTGTTAAAGAGCTCTGGTTCCACATTAAGAACCTGCTGTTTGGTTCATTACATTAAATTATGTCCAGATACATTTAAAAAAAATCTTCCAGGGGTAAATAAAAATTAATGTTCATTTTAAAATGGTTGCAGAAAGATTTATTGCCTTAGTCTATGCCCTTCACCTCAGTAAGTGTGTGTTTGTGTGTGTGTGTTTGTCTAGTTTTGTTCTTTCCTCCGGTGTGCTCTCTGCTGCATGTCGGCATCATCTGGCCTGTTGTTTCATCAGGGGGTTTGGGTAACTTTGTTATTTTGAGCTGACGCTGCATACTGTAGGTCAGATGTCTCTGCTGAGTCCCATCCTGGAGCCTTCAGGTCCCCAGCGGGCCTCCCAGCCAAAATGGCACACTTGCCACCAGGCTGATATAACTCCTGCTGCTGACGTCTCACAGCGACATCTCTGTAATTTAGGATGTAATTCGCTTTTCCTCTGAGCTATATAAAATCTATATTGCCGCCATAAAACAATACGGGATTCGTTGGTAGCCTTTTTAAGTATGCAGAAGGATATTATTGGAAATGTGCAGCGACAAGCAGTTCTGACGTCTGAAAGGCCAAGACAAGACAAAGCAGCATGAAGCCACGTCTGTGGTCATCTTGATGGAGCTCATTTCATTTTTGGCCCAACTGTAGAGTCTGTTTGACTGTAATGCAGATCTAATTCATAGTCCCCCCTCTACTGTAGCTTGTTTGTTGCTGACATTTTAATCTGCAGCAGACTTTTTAAAAGCCAGCCTCCTCATTTGCACCACAGACTTAAAAGCATTTTGAATAGTTTTGCATGTGATGGTAGTCCTTATTATTGTTGAACATTCCTCGTTTTCCTCCCTCCACTAGGGCATCCTCTCGGAGCACTGGATGATTTGTGACAAATACAGTAAGTGAAATAATCATCATCATTATTTTTCTGGTTATTTATCATTTGCCTGACAGAATGTCAAAAGCACTGAATTTCAGCCTTTCATTGTTCTGCAGTAAGGCTAATTACGCATGTCTAAGTCTCCAGCAACCGTAACAATTTGTGCTTATGAGGCTGCTCATTGTGGCAGCTCCATGTGTCTGCTGCTGCAGAGGCTTCAGGCATTATTCCACTTCAGACTGACACCAGTGTCTCTTCCAATTCCATCTCATTGCGTTAGTCATTAAGCTCGCCACTGACACCACCCATCATATCATCGCCTTAATCACATCTGAGCTCTGCTGTGTACATATGACCATATCATTACCACAGACTTCCATCCCCCGTTCCTCCGTCCCCCTCCACTCCGCTCGTGCTTTATTTTGTCTAACAGATCTGACCCCGTGTTTCATCCATCACGCCGAGGTACTACAGTGACAAATGGCATTCACTTAACACTGATTCACTCAGTGATTATTTCCCACCACCTCATATGCAAAATTATTCATCTTATGGTAAGGTTTTGGGGTGATGGGGGTGACTAACGCTGATGGAGCTTGATGTATGTTCCCAACCTTGTGCAAAAAGAATCTCCATATTCCTGATATTAGCCATGCACCAGAGCAGTGAGATATGGCAGGAGTGGGATTTTTCCATCTCCTGCCTGCTGGGGTAATGATGAGGGAAGTCTCGCCAGCCACAATGATTATTCAGTGTTATTCAGTTCTGCTTTCTCTGTGTGTGTGTGTGTGTGTGTGCATGTGTGTGTGCTTGGTTGTGTGTGAGTTGAGGTAATAGTCTGAGGTGGTAATTACAGACATCCTATCACCTGTTTGTATTAGTCAGCTCCGAATGGTGAGGTCAGGCCACATCAGCGGGATTCTAAAACCAAAATGTCCCCTAATATATATTTGCCAACAGCACCATTACAAGACATTTAGACCTCTCTAACTTTTAAAATATTTTAGGTCACATCCAAAACTTTATCAGGATAACTGTGAAAGGAAAATGATTCAAATTTAAATCTGATTTTGTGTGCATTTGGATTCCGTCAACTAAGGCTGCATTCACACCAGCCCTGTTTAATCCACTTTAATCAAACTCTGGTTCGTTTGCCTTGAAAGTCCAGTTTTCTTGGCGTACATCATCCACATGTTTGCTTTGTCCCATATATGCCTTGTTGTGGCAAACTTTAAATGCACGTTCTTGTGGCTTTGTTGTCTTTCAGCAATGCTTTTCTTCTTGCTACTTTTATATAAAAGTAGATTTATGGATTAGAGGAGAAATGGTTTTTCTGTTGACAGATTCATCAACCTGACTGTGGATCTCTGCAGCTCCCCAGCCAAGAGACCCAGTTACCGTGGTCGTCTTGGCTGCTTCTCTGATTAATGCTCTTCTTTCCCACCTCGACAGTTCAGGTGAACAGACATTTCTTAGTCAGTTTGCGGTTGTGGATTAAATTGTGTTTACGAACAAAAGTTGGTAACTTTTTTCTAACCTAATCCTGACTTAAACTTGTCAGGATATTAAACATGACCTATCTGATGGTATTTGTTCTCCATCAGACACCTGAGGCATTTACAAAATGGCTGTAATTATACTGAGATTAAATTAAACTCACATAAACACTAGTTGCAAATTAGGTGGCTTCTATAGGAGCCTGGCTGCAGGGGTATCGGAATAACATGTGATGAATACAACTGCATGCCACACTTTTCAAATGTTCATTTGTATATATATATATATATATATATATTTTTTTTTTTTTTTTTTTTTTTTTTTTTTTTTTAAAAATTTTCCCCCATTTTTTACCAAAAAACCCAAAAAATAAAATTAATTTAAATTTTTTTTT